AGCCTACTTTTAAAGAGTACTTAGATTTACATTGTTGAATGTATGTTGCAAAAACATGTGCCTACGACTATACGGTATGTCATTACACAACAACAAATCTTTAGCTCTGTTTTTTTTTTTTTTGACTGTTGTTTACAATTTCATTCAAATAATCCGGTTTAATGCCATTGTATGAAAAGGACTCAAATCAATTTTAGAGCAGTCTCCAGTCTGAAAATGTAGGCCTGAACAACAACACAACAATGAATTCCCGCAATTAAATCTAACACCATGAAGGCATACAGGCTTGTACAACTACTTACAGTTCTTACTTAGAAGAAACACCATTCCAAAATTCAATATTTCAGAAGATGTTTTTGAGACGACGTGTCTACGACACAGTTCCGGTAGTTCACATACACACTTGCTTCAACCGTAATTTGGATATTATTAGACAGGTGCACAACCAACCAGGTATCTGAAGGAAAATTGCTGCCAAGGACAGTAGTGCCCTACTAGGCTAAACCTACAAATTATTAGTTCAGCGCTCACCCATTATTAGCGTCCACCCTCTGGTATAGCACTGGGCTACAACGGTATCCGACCAGTTTGTCAAAATCCAGTTTGCCGAAACCCATGATTGCGGAATTAATGGATATTAAATTATTATATTGATATTGTAAATAAATAAATATTTATTTTTTTATTTATCAAGGCAAGAAAATTATAAATTTCATAAACATAAAAACAAGTGTTTATTATTTATATTAAATTATTATTATATTTATATTGTAAATAAATATTTTTTTTATTTATCAAGACAAGAACTCATTATGAAAATAAGTACTGTATTTATTATTCATATTCATAAATTATTATATTTATATTGTAAATAAATAAATATATTTTTTTTTATCAAGGAAAAACTAACTCATGCTGTTGCGTTATACAGTAAACTCAAATGCTACACCAGACAGCTCGCTATTTCTATTTCTTGTCATCTTTTGCATCGGAATTTCTAATGATTTAAATCCCAGGAATTCCGACAGTATTTAGCTTGTTGTCATGCCGACCTGGCAAAATACCTCAGTTCTCAGTGACAATGATGTGGTTGAGATGGAGCACCGTCTACGGAATACAAGCTGGGGCATCCACTGAGACATTTCCAATGACACATTTCCAATGACGAATTGTATGAATCGGCTAGTATCGTTTATGTCCTTGGGAAGAACCAGGCGCTCTAGTAAATGTAATATTATGGAGAATACGTATTTTAAGCTTAAATTTGGAAGTTCTGTGTGTTTCACTCGATAATGAATTGTGAGCCTTCATTAAAATTAATCCTAAAAATGTAAAAATCCTGACCTTTCCATTCCGGTGATTGGATATGAGGCAATGCTACCTAGGCGCACCGTATATTCTCACATAAAACCAGGCTTAAAATATAAAATTACGATCAAAAAAGAGGGGGTCGTTTTATACACACAACACATAACATTTTTTTAAATTTTTGAATCATGTTTGTCTTATTGATGGATCATCTGTAACATGCGAATTTACTACTGAAATGAAGCTACAGTACTAACGGTTAGTATGAATGAACACAATTTTAAATGTGAAGAAAATGAGATTTCGATGAACATTTAAAAGCCCATAAAATAAAAATGGTATAATTTTAAAGATTGGCCCTACATCTGACCCTGCAGCTGTGCAGTATGAAGACCATAAAAAGCAGCAGAAAGTAGGAATGCCGATGATGAAACCAGGGGTCGTCTTATATGCACGACA